TTTTGCGTACAGAAATATGTGGTCAGGTGTCTAGTTTTCAAAACTGAAAACCGCAAGTCGCTAGCTTTCATCATTAAAAGGTTATTGCAAAAACAACCGACTCCATTATTCATTGAAAACGATAGTATATCTTAGCATCCATGGATGCTAGAACTAATCATTGGCTTGACTATAAATGGTGCACCATTTATAGTCAAGCCAATGATTAGTTCAAATCGACTAGTTCAAATCGACCTATTTTGGGCGATTCTCTCTTTTGTCACTAACCTTTACCATGTGAGGTAGCAAAGAAATGCCATGATAGTAAAATATTAGCATCTCTAGCCAACAATGTCAAGTTTTTAAACAAATATCTTTGTTTGAATTGACTCGCACTACCATCGCTATAAATAACTAATTCTTCCAATGATGGAAGTAATGTTTGTAAATGTGTTAAAACGTGTTCTAAACATTTTGTAACAGTATATTTATTATGTAATGGATTATCTGATACAATAACAATTGAATGGTTTGCTGATTGTGACCAAACATGTGCAGTAAACAAAGCTAATTGTTTTTTTGCCCAGTGGGCACTTTGAATCTCATTTTGTTGGACAATCGAAAAGTTTTCAGAATAGTCAACTTGCAATAAACAATATTGATCAGTAACATTTAATTTAATAGTTTCAAAATAACTTGCTTGTTGACGTTTTATAAAAACATGCATTAGAAAATGCTCAATCTTACTATGTAAAACTGTACAGCATTCCTTTACAGTACCGGAAAAATCTGTTTTCACTGCTCGACCTTCTGCTGACGTAGTCCACAGTGTCCATTCAATCACACGTTTCTCGTCAATAATTTTTTGTTGTATTTTATCATTAAAATTTCCATTACATTTATGACATTCAGTTGACATACATATTTCATTTCCAGCGTCACAAACGAGTAATTTGACAAATGATTGTAAATTAATTGTTTTTAAACCATCAATATGTTCATTTAGAGCTTTAAGAAGAAGAGATACATTTTCATGATATAGACAAACGCACACGTTGTGTGGCGTTGAGGATTTATACAATACATTTGGTGGTCTTAGATCTTTAAAACTTGACCGACT